ATCCCATAGAGTTTGGATTGTTGCGTTTTCACTTTCATTGGTTTCCATATATTTTCTAATTTCCTCTCTAATTGACTGATTGGCCCATTCATTCTTTAGAAGGGTGTTCTTTAACCTCCATGTTTTTGGAGGTTTTCTAGACTCCTTCCTGTAATTGTTTTCAAGTTTCAAAGCATTGTGATCTGACAGTGTACATGGTATGATCTCTTCTTTTATACTTTTTGAGGGCTGCTTTATGTCCCAGTATGGGATCTATCTTGGAGAATGTGCCATGCGCACTTGAGAAGAAAGTAAATTCCCTGGCCTCAGGATGTAAAGTTCTAAATAGATCCGTCAGATCCCTCTGGTCCAACGTGTCTTTCAAGTCCATTATTTCTTTAGTGATTTTCTGTCTGGTTAACCTATCCACTGCTGTCAGCGGAGTATTAAAGTCCCCTACTATTAGCACATTCTTATCTATAAGCTTGTTTCTGTTTGTGATGAATTGTTTTAAATATTTAGGTGCTCCCATATTCTGTGCGTAAACATTTATGATAGTTAGTTCTTCCTGATGGATGGACCCTGTAATTATTATGTAGTGCCCTTCTTCATCTCTTGTTATTGTCTTTAATTTAAAGTCCAGTTTGTCTGATATAAGTATAGCTACTCTGGCTTTCCTTTGATTTCCTGTAGCATGATATATATTTCTCCATCCCCTTACTTTTAATCTGAAGGTATATTCCAGTCTAAAATGAGTTTCTTGTAGACAGCATATAGATGGATTTTTTTTTATCCATTCTGCTACCCTATGTCTTTTGATTGGAGCATTCAGCCCATTTACATTCAGTGTTATTATTGAGGTATGTGGGTTTAGAGTCTTTGCATCTTTTGTAGGGTTTTTGTTTGTGGTGGTGTCTCTGATATGTTTGTTTCTTGCAATCTTTCCTTCAGAGCGTCCCCCTCAGGATTTCTTGTAGGGCTGGCTTAGTGGTGGCAAATTCTTTCAATTTCTGTTTATTTGGAACGGTTTTTATCTCTCCTTCCATTTTGAATGACAGGCTTGGTGGATAGAGGATTCTTGGCTGCATATTTTTACTGTTCATCACATTGAAGATCTCCTGCCATTCCTTTCTGGCCTGCCATGTTTCATTAGATAGGTATGTCACCACTCTGATAGGTTTCTCTTTCTATGTTAGGGCCCTTTTCTCCCTAGCTGCTTTCAAAATTCTTTCCTTGTCCTTATATTTTGCCAGATTCACTATCATATGCTGTGCAGAAGATCGATTCAAGCTATGCCTGAGGGGAATCCTCTGAGCCTCTTGTATTTCAACATTTACTTCCTTCCCCAGGTCAGGGAAGTTCTCTGCTATAATCTGTTCCAGGATTTCTTCAGCACCTTTTCCTCTCTCTTCCTCTTCTGGGATTCCTATGATATGGATATTGTTGCATTTGACCGTATCACTGAGCTCTCAAACTCTTCTTTCCTGTTCCTGGATCAGTTTGTCTCTTTTTTTTTTAAGCTTCTTGTTTTTCTATAATCGTGTCTTCTAAATCACTTATTCTCCTTTCGGCCTCTTTGATCCGTGTATTGGAGGCCTCTAATTTATTATGTATCTCATTTATCGCTTTTTTAGGTCTTCATGCCTATTTTTATTTTCCATTCTGTCTGTAGCCATAGTTTCTTTGATGTCCCTTATGCTTTTTTCAAGACCAGCTATTAATTTTACCATTATTATACTAAAATATTGTTCAGATATGCTGCTTGTATCTGTTTTGAGCAGTTCATTAGCTGTCATTTCTTCTTGGAGTTTATCTGGAGGAGAGCTCTTTCGTTTCATCATTTTAGTTACCTCTCCGGCTCTTGTTAGTTTTAAAGACCTGTTATGCTCTCTGCACATATGAGCACTGCTGTTTAAAGAAGACTCTTTGGCTGTCCAGGTCCTATCCTTTCAGAGTGTTTTTTGAATGGTATCTCTTGGTCTCTCTTGTTGGGACCTTGGTTATATTATTTTCCTATTTGTAGTGATATTTAGGACTCTCCACCTTGTGTACTCTGGCTTGTTTCTTGAGGTAGCCCTGGAAAAGAAAACAGACAGACAAACACACAGGGAGCAGGAACACAGAAATGCACAGACTAATTCAACTAACATGCAAACCAAGAGGGAAAACGAGAAAGTTAAGAGAAAAGACGGAGGAAGGAGGGCTATTAATAGAGATTATAAAATACGTAAAAGGGTCTAAAAGGAGAAAAGAAAAGGAAAAAAGAAGAAAACCAATGGATAAAGAATGGTTTAAAGCATGTAACCGGATTTCCCAGCTACAGTTAAATAACCATTTGTATGCACAGCTGGTTGAAGAGCATAGAGAAAGAGAGAGAAGGCAGGGCGGGGATGAGGCAAAATTGGAAATAGAATGAACAGGCAGAAGGGATAAGAATCTTTTTTCAAAGAGGTAAAGGGTAGAATATGGTTGGATAGGTGAGAGAAGGACGCTGGTATTATTCAGAGAGACTATATACTCTAATTACTCCTGAGAGAAAGAGATGAAAATGTCCGTAGGTGTAGAATTTACATCTAAAGAATGGACTCCTTATGACTGTTTAAGCAAGCTGGTGACCGGAGTTAATCAGATCAGTGTTCTGGGGAAAAAAGGAAAGAAAAGAGGAAAAAAAAAAAAAAAGGGAGGAGGTCAGCTGTCAAGCAGGGTTGGGCGTGGTGTAATCAAATGCCTCAGGCGGGAGTTCTGCCTTGGCTGTTGTAGGTGGAGAGTGATGGTGCTCCAGTCCCTTCTTGAACCAAGCGCTGCACCTCACTTTTTTGGGCATGTAAACTCCCCATACCGGGGGCTCAGCCAAAGTTGGTTGAGCTCTTCAACCCAAGCCAGTCCCAATCTCCAAATCCCAGTCTGTGTGCCCCGCTGAAGTTGCCTTAGACACAACTTCCCAGGCAATCCCCTCGGGGATATTCCAGGCCTCCTGCGTGGCTCTGGGGGTGGAGTCAGAATTGCTGCTTCCTTCTCTGGGTCGGGCTGGCAAGCATGGGCGGGGGCTCTCTGCCGGGTGCGCGGAGCCCGCTGGAGTGCGGAAATCCAGGTCTCATCACCCGAAACACAAACTCGCAGGCAAATCTCCCAGTTTTTAGCTCTTTGCCTTCCCTCTAGAGTTCCAGCCAGCCAGGAGAGCAGACGTCGGGAGTCCGCGTGCGGCTCTTTCAGGGGCCCAAGCCCGCCGGAAGGACAATGGCGGCAGGCGCGACGCTACTGTAGAAGTCCAGCCAGCCAGGAGCCACAACAAAGAAGCAGTCCGCGAGCTCAGCCCCTCCAGGACCAGTTGGCCCGAGGGGACCTGGCGTGCAGGTATTTGGCGTGCAGGGTGTTTTTATGCCCGAGCGGAAGTTTTTCTCCCGAGCAGAGGTTTTTCTGTTTCGGACTTTCTCATTTTCCCCTCTCACTCCCCGCAGAGGGGGATTTCCTCCGACCCTGGAGTCTCCGATCCCGGCCTGATTTTATCTTCCCCAGTTCGCACTCACGTTAGAAGGCTTTCTAAGTGAATTCTGAGTCCTTTTTCTCCCAATCTCTCAGGTTTTGTAAGGATTCCAATGGCTTCAGATCTATTCCGTGTGAGGTATGGGCGCGAGTGCAAGTACGGAGCTCCTTACTTCTCCGAGAATATCATATGGTTCTTATCCTTTCTATCATTAATGTAGTGTATCATTCATTCATTTTAGTATAGTGAGTCACCTAAAAGGGACTCTTTGTGTAGAATGAATAGGCCAGGAGAGAGTATGAAAATTAAAATAATAAAAGCAGTACAAATAAGTATTGCTGTAAAAATCCTTACAGATGTTGATAAAGTGATTGGATCTGATGCGGGTTCCATATTTTACAAATATGTTACCAAATATATGAAACATGAAAGGGATAGGAGTAAAGAATGAGCTCAGAATTAAGTGACCATCAGCTTAATATACACTACTATATGCAGAAGATGTTATATATAAACTGATGGTAACCACAAATCAAAAATCAGTAATAGATATGCAAAAAACATATAGTAATAAACCTACAAAGCAAACTATGACAGAGAAAGAGAAGAAAATATCGTTAAAACCTTAAAACAACCTGAAAGCAACAAAATGGCAATAAATGCATATCTATCAATAACTACTTTGATGTAAATGGACTGTGTGCTCCAATCAAAGTATATGGGGTGACAGCATGGATATAAAACCCAGACCCGTCCATACAGTGACTAATACAGACTCATTTGAGAGCTAAAGACACCTGTATATTAAAACTGAGGAGTTGCACATTTAATGACAGTTGGAGTAACAATACTTATAATGGATAAAATAAGCGTTAAAACAAAGCCTATAAAAAGAGACAAAGAGGGGTACCTGTGTGGCTCAGTCGGCTAAGTGACCAACTTCGGCTCCGGTCATGTTCTCATGGTTCGTGGGTTTGAGCCCCGCGTTGGGCTCTCTGCTGACAGCCAGCTCAGAGCCTGGAGCCTGCTTCGGATTCTGTGTATCCCTCTCTGTCTGACTGTGGGAGCCCGACAGTGACCACAAGAAAGCGTGGTTAGTGACGCAGAGATGTGCCTGCACACGGGACTCTCTGCCTGGGCAGACCATGCCTGCAAACACGATGTTCTGCCAAGGGGCCTGCACATAATATCCAAGGTAATGATCCGCTCGCACACGAGGGAACATGCCCTCCTTAGAAATAAGGAGGAGGCTGGAATTGTGAGCAGGCCTCTTAGTAAACATGTTGTGGTCACTTCCTTCCTTTGCTCCCCCCACCCCGTCCTTGAAATGTGTTTGGCTACTTGCCCTTATTTGGTAAAGGAATGCATCTTGTAGATTTCAGTTTGTATGCAGTTACCAGGGTATAAAATAAACCGCAAGAAGGGCTTGCGTAGAATTGTTCCTCCAGCCGGAGTTGTGTCTGTGTCTGTCTTTTGTGTGTGTCTTGTCTTTGTGTCATTTCATCCGCAACATCTGGAGCCCAACGTGCGGGCTCGAGGGCGAACGAAACCGAAAGGGTGAGTACCCCTCGGGGATTGTAGCTCCAAGGCAGGGGAACTTTCGGGAAAATTATGAGGAATTCCCCATTGACAAAGGCACAATACATGGAGCTAGTCAAAGGACTTCTCCACTCCATCGGGGTGAAGGCATCTAGTCGCCATTTATCTGAGTTATTTCGCCTTGTGGAGAAGCATTGTTATGGGTTTAAGTGCCAAACTAAAGTACAATTAAACTTAAAGTAATGGAAATTAATACAGAAGGAATTACGGCAACAGCATCAGAAGGGTAACATAATTCCTTTGAAATTGTGGACTCTATGTAGTGCTATCACTCAAGCACTTTCATTGCTTTCTGCAATTAAGGAGTTGGTGGGAAGAGGAAGCCCGAAAGCAGGCTCGAATTAATGAGGGGCAGACCCCTCCTGGTCCTCTGGAGGATAAATTGATGGGAGAGGGACAGTTTCGAGCCTTGAGAGAACAGGCTCAATTTTCCAACCAGGATTTACAGCAGGTGCGCCAGGTATTTCTTAGGGCTTGGCGCCGTGTTGTACGTACTGGCCACCCTCAGCCTTCTTTTACAAAAACTTTACAAGGACCCAATGAACCCTATACTGATTTTCTTGCTAGATTGCGGGTGGCTGTTGAGTGGGCTGTTGGACGTGATGAAATCTCGGAGATACTTTTG